GGCTCATAATTAATGGTCTATATTGATAACAAACAATGGTGTCGAATTTAGGAGCCAACAGTTATGCATGTGAGACATCTTAGCCAAAACAAATAAAAAATACAAGATCATAGTTCCTCGATGACGCTACGAAAGTTACCTTACAAATGATCTTAGTCCCTTAAAGAGAAATGCTAAGATATCTCGCAACATTGTTATCCATGACTATACGATGACCCACGCCTGTCCCTTCACATACAATGATAGGGCTTCTTATCAATCAATGATAAGATAGAAATATCTAAAGGAGGAGGAAAAGAACTAAGACCTTTTGAGTAAGTAGATCGTTCATAGTTGCTTGCTCACAATCAAATATTCAAAACATATTTCAAACACACCAAACACTTTCAAAAACATGAAATATTTTTAAAAGTCCAACACTTTGTATGCATTCTTATAGAGACGAGAATCATTACAATGTTTACCTAAACGAAGGCGCTTTTCAAAAATACTTTCAAAATCCACCACAAACACATTTCGAACAAAGCAATTTCAAAAGTGATCTAGCAATCAACTAAAAGTCCATAGATAACTATGGATGAAAAGGGTGCTAACACCTTCCCTTTTTGTAACCTACCCCCCGAACTCAAGAAAATATCTCAAAGGTCTTTCCTGTTCTTTTCACCCTTTCCTTATTAGATAAAAGAAAAGTCGGTGGCGACTCTTGCTATCCACAACAATTACGATAAAATGCAAAGCACCTAAGTCAGTTCTCCCACCGTATTATACTATGCATACACACTGATAAACCACACATAATCATATTTTGTTAGGGTGCTCTCTAGGCAAGGTTTGATAACGTCCAATTAGGTTTTTATGTAACCGAGAATATTAGGTTGAGAATTATGGGGGATTTCATCCGGAAAAACATAGGGTTTGTCCTCCAAGATCTTTGGTAGATTTTGGGGTTTTGTTCAAGACTTTCAAGAGAGGATAGCGGCCAAGTGAAAAGCCTTCAGAGTTTGGTACCCAAGGAAGTAGCAAGAGAACAGCGAATGGAATTGAAAGGTCTTATGTTCAATAGGTACAATTGATCGTGCGCAAAAGAGCTTTCGAGTTTGGTACCCAAAGGAGTAGCAAGATTAGATAAATCAATTTGTAGCTATTGTGTCTTGGTCTTGCTCAAGATCAAAAGAAGAGAAGAGGTTAAATTAACAATAAACATTTAGGGTTTGTAGGGTTTCTCATGGAACACTTCTCTTGTAATCATTTTTTGCACAGTAAGAAATGATCCTAATTCTACAATTGGAATTGGGGGGATACATAGCCATAGCGAGGACGTTTGGTGAACTTTCTAAACAAATACTCGTGTCGCTCTCTATTATCTCTTTACTTACTTTACTTTTCAATAAGAAATTTGTTAAATAGCATTGATTGATCGATCGACTCGTAAGAATTTTTTCGTGACTGCTTTTGTTTTGAATTGGTTATTGATTAGCTTATAATCACTTTTATCATAAGTGTTTTTTCATATCAGCACAACTCAAGGAAAATTCTAAAAATTTGTTTGCACACCAAGTGTTTGACAAATTGCATAGTTAGTTATTTTTTGTTTATTTTATTAGAAATAGTGTTGCTAATAACTTGCTATAAATGAATAATATTGTGATAGCTTGTTTCAACTATATTGATTTGGTTTATTGTGTTGTTCATTCCATAAGGTTTAATTGCATATTTGAAGTTCTAATAACTAGGTTCATATAGATGACTTTAATCGATCTATAAAAAACCTCTCGTGTGCACTCTTTTCAATTAACTTTTTAAAACCCAATTTTAGTTGATATTTTGACTTGGTGATCTATTCTCTCCCCTCTAGATAAGTCGTCATCGTCTAACACATCCACTCCCTAAACATTTGAAAACCTAATAATTATCTTAAATAATAGAATGATAAAATGAATAATGGTGTAATACTTACAATCATAGTCAAGATCTTATGAAGTGAATGCACTTTGCGCATATACGAACTCTTAACTAACTAGATAAAGGTTTAGAAGGAGAGAGTGCAAAAAATATCAAACGAAGAAAAAAGAAATCTTTTTATAGGGAGGAGAAGTGTTGACGTATGGGCAACCTATTACCGCTCACTAGTCACCTCAACAACTACATTAAAAGTGAAAGATTTCTCACGCTAGATACACATGTAAGGAGTTAGGCCAAATTTGACATCTCCAAGAAAATCATCATCAATCGCATAAAATACAACACATGCTTTTCTCATCTGATTAAAGTTTAATTTCCCTCGATTGTTTGATATTTGATTTCCTTCAAACAACTGACAAGTGATTCACTTCATTGACACATGGAGATATATCTTAGACTCGTCTCATACAAAAGGGACTCGTCGCGTACAAGAAGGACTTTCCTCATATAGAAGAGACTCACCCCTAGTATGCTATAGGGGCTCACACAAACAAGGAGAGGAAAAACAAGACTAAATCACCTCATGCTTGAGGCATTATGTATTGATATATTTGTGAAGAGTCCACAAAGGGCGGCATGGGAGGAAAATGATATAACATCTCGTCCAAAATGCCTTCCTGGTTGCCTGTTTCCTAGATCGGTCGCATGTTTACTCGATGTGACACCCCTTCTTCAAATACTTTCCCCACTTATTGGATAACTTTCCCGAAACGTGCGAACGTGGGATATGACGTGTCCCTAGTCCACAAAGGTGCAAAAGAAGTTAGGGGGAAATTAATCATATTCTCTTGAATAACAGGGGATTAATTGTCCCCTCCCACGTTCTGTTAGAAGTGATTACTATTTTCTAGGGATCTGAAATCCAGACCCAGGAACTCTTATAAATACCTCACATTGAATTGAGTAAAGCTCGATGTGTTAACACATAGATACAATATATACAGAGCTTCTCACTCTCTACGTGGGCTAGCTCCAAATCCTACAACAAATTCTAAAAGCCTCTAATAATGCTTTATCACTAGGGGTTGTCATGTATTGCACTTTTAGCAAGTACAAGTTACAATAAATTTACTCAACAAGTTCATAAGAACACTTCTTAATTTCTACTCATTTGTGAGCTAATCTTTCATACTATCAAAATCAAATCGTTAGTGAAATTTTATAAGAACTATCAAGAATCGAACACAAGGTTTGCAAATTATATTAAATTGAACTTGGAAACATGTTGTACACTCATTTGAAAATGATTAAAAATCACACGATTTTTTTTTGAGATATTTTTTCTTCAGAAGTTTGAAATATGATTCTGAGGTGGAGAAAAAGAGAAAAAAGGATTCATGTTTCTATAATTCAACGTATAAGAAGGATCCATTAAAAAATGCGATAGAAAAAACCCTTTAGAAATGATAAATTTTGTAAATTTGGACCGTCTCTCATATATGTAGGAGATGGAAGAAGCATTTTTCATCACTAAATGGATATAAATTAGTAGTATTATAGTGAAACGAATTTTATTTTTGAATTAGTACATATGGTTGAATCCTTTGGCAAACCTAGTAGTATTCTCCTCTAATATAATCACCCAGTCGCTTCAATTCTCCATCTTGTTGCTCTATCACTACTCGCACAACATCTACTATCGAAATCATGCCAACTATTTTCCCATCTATAACTGGAACATGGCGAATGCGATTTTCTACAATACAAGTAAAAAGGGTCACACTCAGTTCTTCAATATTTTGGTCACATAAACATTTTGTGTATGGAATGGAACAGTTACCTAACATGAGTCTCATTGCTCTTAGAATGTTTGTGTCAGATGTCACAGTTACCAGGTCATTCTGTTATCAGTTAAAAGTGAAAATGATGGATTGGATTAATCATAATGAAAATGAGATGAGAGAGTATATAAAAAATAACCTCATTAGTCATTATTTGACCAACTCGTGTGTATAAAGGTGATCTTCCTTGTGCAACTATTTTCTTCAAGCAGTCTGCAGAATCATGCATGCATGCATGCATGCATGCAGCCAACGGAGATTCAGTTTAGTTTGTTGTGTGTGTATTCATGCAAGTCGTATCAGTACCATTCGACTCGAAATTAATCTTATTATAACGAATGTTGGACTATGAAGCACAGACTTTAACATAAACATTTTGACACATAGGACACTTACACCGATACATGTATAGGAACACAAACACGAACACGAACACGAAACACCTACCTCTTTCTGTGACAATGCCAGCTATGTCCTGGCCCTCTGGCTTCAGTACCACCAATGATCCAATATCATTTTCAGCCATCTATTATATCATTATATATTTGTTTAGAAATCTTTTACTACTTAGATCACTGTTATAAATAAATATTTACTTATAATAGTAACCTATGTTAATACATAAATAGCAATGAACAAAAGCTATAAAAAAACAAATTGAAAAACCATCTTACATTCTTCATTGCATTAATAACAACATCATCAACTCTACACCAAAGCCAGGAACCCAATTTTTCTTCCCCTTTTGTCATTAGCACCTCTGACACTGTAACATTCTCCAACCCTTTCTGCTGCATGGGTGGAGAGGATGTGATAAATCCAAAGCCTGAAGATATTTTGTTCAGGTTAAAGATTCCATTCCCGTGGAATTGTTGAAATATCGCAGCCCTCGGAGGGTTGCGGTAAGGTCGCAGTATCCGATAAATCCCTTGCATTGTTCTATTATTCACTCATCCTAATTCTGTTCAATCAAAATTTAAATGACTGATGAATTCTTTTCTTGATAGAGAATACAAAGAAAAGAACTTTACTTTAAGGTTTCTTGCAGATAGAATTTGCCAGAACTTTTTGGATGATGAATTCCATTGAATATGCTAGCAATTTCTTTTGTGACAAGCAATAGAAATTTCTTTCCTCTCCAACAAGATTTAAGCATGCTGTTATGCATCCAAGGTATATATTCTTAGTTCTGAGTATATAAATCATCCAACCTTTTTTCATGTCACAGAAGATAAATTATTAAACCAAACATTATCCATGCCAGGAACAAAAAAGAAGATATTTCGTTATAGAATCCCGTGGATATCATGTTCTTCTTCCACGGGATCTTCTTTTCATCGAAAACAAAGATCAAAATCTTCACCAACACAGCCTCTTCCTACACCAATTTCTGAACCTCAAACAACTCTAGAGAGAAAAGTGATGTTTACAGTTTCAACATCGAGCCCTAGTGAAAATAACATCAAAATACCAGCAGTACCAGTTAGCGCAAACGTATCAAACTCCCCCATCCAAAATAGTACTATGAGTATGAAGGATGATGATGTAACAAATCTTGTTAATAGAGTTGGTACTGTGAATCCAACAACACTGCTTCCGACAGATGATAAAACAGTTAGTATTGTAACTCTAGCAGGTGACAACAGAGGCGCAACAATGCATGTTGCAGGTTCGCAATCCCAATCTACAAGAAAAAAAGGTTCAATCAATAGCATACGCGGAACCAACGAGAAACAAGATAAAGATGAAGCGGAGAAGGCATATGTTAACAGTAACATACAGAGTATGAATAATTCATTCATGATTCAAGGTTCAGTATCCGGACGAGACCCTGGTGTTCGTGTCATTCTTCCCCAACAGCCTCAGCCACAGCCACAGCCTCAGCCTCAGCCTCAGCCTCAGATCAGCCGGGTAGAGAAGTTACCTTACCAACCAATGGTTAGAAGACGATGCCTGAGAGGACTTATGGTGGAACCGAGTGATTCTGATCCTGAGAATCCTGATAAACCCCGTCGTCATGGATGCAAATTTAGCTGCGGAGATGTTAGAAAAGATAAAGATAAAGTGATTCTGTAACAAAATTGTAAACAACAAAATATTATCTATTGTTATAATCCACTTGAGATATCATAACAGGATTTTGATTTTTCATGTTGACAATATCCAAACTATGTATTGTGAATTTTATTATTTACACTTTATTCATTTACAGTAAGTTAAGTTGCAACTGTCTTTAATCTACAAGAGAATAAGTAGAACAAGAGGATAACATAGGGATCATCATCATATTTGACTAACTAGTAGTAACAAAAACTACATGTTAATTGTTGGTGTAAGATAATGAAATTAAGGAAATGATGAATGATAAAAAGCTGCTACAAATAATTGAAAAATGATTGAATTTAATTAATGAAACCTAGTACACCTATTTATACACAAAAATAGTAAAGATAAGAATGTCACATAGGCTCTAAGAGAGAATATTCTAAATATAGCAAATACTAAATTATCCCTTTAATACCATCCCTTAATTTAGTATCTATCAGAAACTAACAACACCAATTTTATTCTTCAAATGAAGAAATTAATCTGTTTTGATTGCCTTCGTCAGAACATCTGCCAGCTGCTTCTGGGTGCTACAGTGCAGAACTTCTAACACTCTTTTCTGCACTTGACTTCTCAGAAAATGATATTTCGTCTCAATATACTTGCTTCTTCCATGCAACACTGGATTCTTGGCAACATTGATTGCAGACTTGTTATCAATCAACAGCTTCAGAGGTTTCTCTATCTCAATCTTCAAATCCTCCAGAAGATTCAGAAGCCAAACAGCTTGACATGCAGCTACAACACCTGCAATGAATTCAACTTCACACGTTGACAGAGCCACAACATGCTGTTTCTTGGAACTCCAAGAAATAGGACCTCCCAGAAACTTGAACAAGTAACCAGAAGTACTTCTTCTGTCAACTCTATCTCCACATCAGTCAGAATCAGAATAACTCACTAATTCTGGTTCTGTCTTTCTTCAAGAAAGAAATAAAACTCAATATTTCAGAGTTCCCTTGATATACCTCAGAATCCTGACAACAGCTTGGTAATGAGACCACTTTGGTTTACTCATGAATCTGCTAACCATTCCAACTGCATAGCAAATGTCAGGTCTGATATTGCACAAGTACCTAAGAGAACCAACCAACTGTTTGAAGGTCGTAGCATCCACAAAATCACCATCAGAATCAGAATCCAATTTATGATTGGTTTCTGATGGTACCACAACAACTTTACAATTCTGTAGCTTAAATCTCTTTAAAAGTTCAAGTTCATACTTCAGCTGATGTAGAATGATACCCTTCTTTGAGTACAAAATCTCCATTCCTAGAAAATATACCATATTTCCCAGATCTGTCATCTCAAATTCATTCGTCAGAACTTCTTTGAACTTGATTATATCTTCTAGACAACTTTCTGTTAGCAATATGTCATCAACATATAGACACACTAGAATCATATTGCCACCAGAATGCTGCACATACACGCCATATTCCATCTCACATTTCTGAAACTTCTGTCTCTTAAAAAACGAATCAATTTTCAGATTCCAAGCTCTGGACGCTTGTTTCAGTCCATACTAGGCTTTATGTAACTTGTATACCATCCCTTCCTGATTCTTTTTAACAAATACAGGAGGTTGTGACACATATACCTCTTCTTGTAACGGACCATTCAGAAATGCAAACTTCACATCCAGATATATCAAAGGCCAATTTCTGTTTGCAGCTAAAGCAATCACCAGTCTGATTGTTTCATGTCTGGCTACAGGCGCAAACACCTCAAAGTAATCTAGCCCAGGTTTCTGAAGAAAACCTCTAGCCACTAGTCTCTCTTTGTGTTTGCCAATTGATTCATCTGACTTAAGCTTCGCCTTGAAAACCCATCTGACGTTGATGACTTTCTTCTTTTCTAGAAGCTTTGTCAACTCCCAATTTTTGTTTTTTTCAATAGCCTCAAGTTCTTCCTTCATGGAATTCAACCATACTTTCTTCTTGAGAGCTTCTTCAATACATACTGGTTCAGAATCTACTAACATGACACACTGAATGACTTATCCTTCAGAATCTACTTCAGTATCATGCAACATGCTAAAATCTGCAAACCTATTTGGTATTTGTCTGATTCTCTGTGGCCTCTGAACTTGTTCTGAAGCTTCTCCAGAACTTGGAACAGTGCTAGCTTCTAGACCTTGTCTAGAACTACTTCCTTCAGAATTACCACCTTCAGAGTTACTTCTGGTAGCTTGTCCTCCAGAACCTATGTCTTTAGAGTTTTCCCTTCCAGAAATATAATCACCACCATATTCTGGATCATCATCAGAATCTGGATCAGAATCAGATCCACTATCAGAATATCCCTGAGATTCTGACTCATCTTCAGAGTCTTCAGAATCAGATTCATCTTCTGACTCTGACTCGTCTTTAGAATTTTCTGAAGAATCTTCAGAAACTAACTCTGGTGTTGGCGCTACACCAGAATCTGATTGAGGCTTGTTCTAATCCCATGTTTCTGACTCTTTCACAATAACGTCTCTGCTGATTTCAACTTTGTTGATTTCTAGACAATAAAGCTTATAGGCACCTGTACTGTGGTACCCCACCAATAACATTACTTTGCTTCTATCATCCAGTTTCCGTCTTCTAGCTTCTAGAACGTGTTTGTAGCATACAGAACAAAACACCCTCATATGGCTAACACTTTGCTTATCTCCAGTCCATTTTTCTAAAGGAACAATTTCTTTCAGCTTCTTCGTTGGACACCTATTCAGAACATATGTTGATGTGGCAACAACTTCTCCCCATAACATGTGAGGTAGCTTCTTCTCTTTCAGCATACTTCTGGTCATATCAAGTAAAGCTCAGTTTCTTCTTTCAGCAAGACCATTGTGTTGAGGAGTATATGGAGCAGTAACCTCATGTTCTATTCCATTCTCCTCACAAAACTTCTGGAACTCTGTAGTATTATACTCACCTCCACCATCCGTTCTCAGAATCTTCAACTTCTGGAACTCTGTAGTATTATACTCACCTCCACCATCCGTTTTCGGAATCTTCAACTTCTAACCACTCTGCTTCTCAGCCTTCACCTTGAACTTCTGGAACTCAGTAAACACTTCATGCTTGAACTTAATGAGTGTTACCCATGTCATTCTTGTGAAATCATCCACAAACGACACAAATTATTTATTTCCTCGAAGTGAAGATATTGGAAATGGTCCACACACATCAGAATGTACTACTCCCAAAGCATGCTTCGCTCGGCGGGCTACTTCTGATGCAAATGACAATATGGGTTGCTTGCCTTTCATGCATATCTCACATGACTTACGAGGCTTCACAATCTTTAAAATAACATGTACAAGCTTCTTAGAACTTAGATTCCCTAAGCTTCTATAGTTCAAGTGCTCTAACCTCTTGTGCCACACTCACTGTCACCTTCAGCGCCTTCTGCACTAAGACACTCTACTTCAGTTGTTTCTACATTCACCTTGAATGTTCTGTTGCTTCCCTGCTTAGACTTCATAATCAACTTCTGATTGGAATCATATAACGTCAAGAGGTTGTCCTTCATAACAACTTAGAACCTTTTTTCAATGAGCTGATCCACACTCATCAGATTGCTTTTAATTCCAAGAACATACCAAACATCTTTGATCAGAATGTTTTTTCCATTCTTCACTCTGACTCTGACATTTCTTATACCTTTTGCATTAAGATACTTATCATCAGCACATATGATCTTTGTTCTCCTTCTGGATTCAAAGTCTATCAGCCATTGTTTGTTCCCAGTCAAGTGGTTTGAACAGCCAATGTCCATATACCACTAATCTTCTGAACACTTTTCATCAGAATCAGAAGCCATCAGTAGCACAGGTTCATCATCAGAATCTCCTATGGCTATATTTTCTTCTTCTGATTTCCTTCCTCTGTTTCTACAATCTCTAGCAAAATGGCCAAACTATTTACAACAGTAACATTGAACCTTATTCTTGTCATACCTTTCCTTTCCCTTCTGATATTTCTTTTCATCAGAAGTTGAGGTTTCTGACTTCTAGAATTTATCACCAAGTCTATTCTGCTTCTGGTCCTTTTTGACAAAAGAAGCCTTCAGATCTTGCTCAACTTCCCTCTCAAAAGTTCTTTCAGTCATACGCAACTCCTGCGCTTCTAGACTGTTTTTCAACTCTTCTATTCTCATGGTTTCCAGATTTTAGAATGTCCAATAGAAACAACAATGTAATCAAACTGAGGAGTAAGCGACCTCAGAATCTTCTTTATGATTACCTGTTCAGAAAGTGTTTCTCCACAAGCTTTCATCTCATTAGTGATCAGAATCATTCTAGAGATGTGCTCATAAGCTTTCTCACTATTCTTCATGTTGAGATTCTCATATTGCTTTCGCATGGACTGAAGCTTCACCTTCTTCACTGACGCGTCACCACCATAACATTTGACCAGTATATCCCATGCCTCTTTCGACGTTGTTGAATCAACAATCTTCTCAAACACACTTTCATCCACACACTGATGGATATAGAACAGAGCTTTTTAATCCCTCTTCCTCGTAGATCTTTCTGCAGCTCTTTGTTCTTCAGTAGCATCTGCTGCAACTGGAACATAACCATTGGTAACAAGATCCAGAACATCCTGAGCACCAAACAACACACACATCTGTATCATCCATCTGTTCCAGCTTTTGCCATCAAAAACTGGAAGTTTAGTGTTTAAACTACTGCCTCCACTCATCTTAAACCTTTCTCAAATCTCATATCTCAGATCTCACTCAGTGTTTCCCAAACCCACAGAATCAGTGTGATTTTGTTCAAATTTTGTTGAAGATTCAACAGAAATCAAACACACAGCTCACTTTTCACTTGTGTTTCCCAGAATTTCAGAAGAACCAAGTGCTCTAGATACCAATTTTGTTGGTGCAAGGTGATGAAATTAAGGAAGAAGAGAGAAAATGATGAATGATAAAAAGATGCTACAAATGATTGAAAAGGGATTGAATTTAATTAATGA